GGGGGGGGAGGGGGGAGGAGAGAAGAAAGAGAGAGAGAGAAATAAAAGTGGGGCTCCTGGGAGGATACGGGGAAGGGGAAGAACGATAGGGGGGATCGAAGAGAGTTTTCTACAGTAAAACAACTCCTACCAATGCCGCTGAAGAGAGACACCCATCGCTCCCTCCCCCCAACCCCATGGATCCGCCAATGCAGCAAAATTTCCTCCTTATTTGCCAGTTTGGACTACTTTTGAGTGTCATTACCTCTCGTGGAGAATAAATACAAGTGGGATTTCTGACTTTTGACTTTGATTTTCTCACTGGACTATAACCTAAGCGCGTTCGAAGTGAAGTTATACTTGCTTTTGCCACTGTCCGACTTTTCGGTTGCACCGTCCGGTACGATAAGCGGTGATGTTGAACGTTGTGGTGCTACCACTCCAACCGGAATTGTTGTTGATAAATTTTCGCCATTGCTTCCGGCTAATTTTTTCATTGGTGAATTCTTGGTGGATAATGGAGCTAATGCAGCCCTACTGAGATTTGATGCTAGCGACGTCGAGTGACGGCAACTACCCTGCAAAAAAAAAGGAAAAATTTAATTTGTTAACATTTCGAGATCGATGCTTTGCCCAATTCGTTCTGGGTCCACCGGAGATTTTTTTTTTCAGATCACCTAATTTTAAACTGAAGAATAATAACTGTAACTATTATTATTACAGCTATTATTACTATCACTGTTATTACTATCACCATCATCATTATTATTATTGTCACTATTATTATTATTGTTATTATTATCATTATCATCGTTGTTGTTGTTGTTATTGTTATTATTATTATTGTTATTATTGTTATTATTATTATTGTTATTATTATCATTACCATCATCATCATTATTATACACACACCTCTATACGTGGTTCAGTTGTTAAATTATAGTCTGATTCTTCAACTGCGTTAAATTATTTTGCACTTTTTGTCCGAAGATTAGTACAGTTTTGCAAAAATTAATAATTGCAATGTTGAAGGGAAAAGTGACAGGCGAACCTCGGAAGATTCCTCGGTTATTGTGGATAAAGAATCGTGAAATATATGAATATTCTTCTTGGATGGCTTCGTACCACCGTTCACCTGAACAAAATAAATAATGCTAGCTATGATAAAAATCTGATAAAGAATGACTGATATATCATCACGACATTAATGCAAAATTTTCGAAAAAACGACTC